TTCTATTCCTAGTTTGTTGTTTTTATCATAAATGGAATGTTGGACTTGTCAAATGTTTTTTCTATTAGGATAATCATGTAGTTTTGTTCTTTATTCTATTTATACAGTGTACTACATTAATTGTTTTTAAGCCAACCTTGCATTCCTGGGATAAATACCACTTGGTCATGGTATATAATAATTTTTATATGTTGCTGGATTTGGTTTGCTAGTATTTTATTTAATTAATTAACTTATTTTTTGAGATGGGGTCTTGCTATATTGCCCAGGCTGGAGTGCAGTGGCTATTTACAAGTGTGACCATAGCACATTACAGCCTCAAATTCCTGGCCTCAAGTGGTCCTCCCACCTCAGCCTCCCAAGTAGCTGGGAGGTGTGTGCCACATCTAGCTGATGTGCTAAAACTATGTTGAAGATTTTTGCATCTCTATTCATAAAAGATAATGATCTATAGTTTTCTTGTGATGTCTTTGTCTGCTGTTGGTATCAGGGTAATACTGCCCTTATAGAATGAGTTGGAAAGTGCTCCTTCCTCTTCTTTATTTTTTAAAAAGATTTTGAAGGATTTATGTTAATATTTCATTAAACATTTAGAATTAACCAATGAAGCCATCTGGTCCTCAGTTTTTCTTTGTGATAATTTTTTCAATTAATAACTGAAGGTGGGATCATCTGAGGTCAGGAGTTTGAGACATGCCTGGCCAACATGGTGAAACCCCGTCTCTACTAAAAGTACAAAAATTAGCCAGGCGTGGTGTGGGTGCCTGTAATCCCAGCTACTTGGGAGGCTGAGGCAGGAGAATCACTTGAACCTGGGAGGCAGAGGTTGCAGTGAGCTGAGATCATGCCACTACACTCCAGCCTGGGTGACAAGAGCAACACTCTATCTCAAAAAAAAAAAAAAAAAAAAAAAAGAATTCTTGAAGACTTTTCCTTTCAGTACTTTGAATATATCAGCCTGCTGCCCCTGGACTCCATAATTTCTTATAAGAAATTTGTTGTTAATCTTATTGAGGATTCCTTTTATGTAATGTCATTTCTCTCTTGTGCTTTCAAGACTTTTTCTGTCTTTAGCTTTCAACAGTTTGTTCATGATGTGTACAGCTGTGGATCTCTTTGAGTTGAGTTTACCATACTTAGAGGATCACTGAGCCTTTTGAATGTGTAATGCTTTTCATCAAATTTGGAAAGCTTTTAGCCATTAATTCTTCAAATGTTTTTACCCCTTTCCCTGCTCTTTTCCTTCCAGAACTCAAGTTACATTTATGTTGGCATATTTGCTGGTGACCTACATTTCCCTGAAGATCTGCTCGTTTTTCTTCACTCTTTTTTTTTTGTTTTGTTTTGTTTTGTTTTGAGATGGAGTCTCGCTTTGTCGCCCAGGCTGGAGTGCAGTGGCACCATCTCGGCTCACTGCAAGCTCTGCCTCCTGGGTTCACGCCATTCTCCTGCCTCAGCCTCTGAGTAGCTGGGACTACAGGCATGCACTACCACGCCTGGCTAATTTTTTTTTGTATTTTTAGTAGAGACGGGGTTTCACCGTGTTAACCGGGATGGTCTTGATCTCCTGACCTCGTGATCTGCCCGTCTCAGCCTCTCAAAGTGCTGGGATTACAGGCATGAGCCACCACGCCCGGCTTCTTCATTCTTTTATCTTTTTTTCTTTCTCACTATTCTGAGACTGAATAATCTCAATTGGCTTATCTTCAAGTTCACTGATTATTTCTTCCACAAGTTCAAATCTGCTATTGATCCCTCTAGTGAATTTTTAAATTCAGTTATTGTGCTTTTCAACTCCAACATTTCTGTTCAGTTCCTTTTTATAATTTTTTAAAATCTTCATTGATATCCTCTATTTGGTAAGACAACATTCTTAATACTTTTCTATAGTTCTTTAGACTTTTGCTTGAGTTCTTTAAATATATTTACAATAGCTATAAATTTACAAAAGTTTTTATCTAGTAAGTCCAACATCTGGGCTTACAACAACTGCAACTGCACAGTTTTAGGTCAGTTGGGGGGGTCTCTGATTTCCTACCTTTTCTCCACCCCTGCTTCTGTAGACATCCTCCCTGCCACTTCCACAGCCCCTTTCCCTCTTCCACCCACTCACCTGAGGGCAAAATGGCCTAACTTCCACAGAGCCAAAAGATGATTATTGACGATGCTTTCAACTTGGTGGAGTCCATTTCAAAGACACTTTCTACTGAAACTTTTTCTTATGTTTGGTCATACTTTATTTATTTTCATCTTCCATAATTTTTATTAAAAACCGTACATATATGTTTCAACTCTGGAAATCAGATCTCCACAAACACCCAAAGTTTCTTATTCCTGCTGTTGTTGTTTCATGACTTCTCTGAACCAATTCTGTAGTCTGTATTCTCTGTCACATGTGACCACTGGAGTCACTGGAGTCTCTGGTTTGCTTAGTGGTCAGCTAATAACTAGACAGATATATCTTTGGATGACTGGAACTGACAAGTCTCCCAGTCTTTGCCAAGGGACTGTCTATGAGCATTAAGGCATGCCTTCAATGCTCGGGCAGGCAATTTACAACTCCATCTTAGCTTTTACTTCTTTCTTAAACAGAGTCTCAAGGTAAGTCATAGGTGAGAGGCATTTTCAGGTCTTTCCTGGGCATGTATGTAGGTCTATGCATGCATTTGGCCTTCTAGATTCCCAGGAATATGTCAGGAGTTTTCCAAAACCCCCTATGGACATAATCACTTTCCAGCTGATCTTTTTAAGTTTTTTGGTCAGCGTGTTGTTTGCCTGCCAACTGTATCACTGCCTGCCTGTTTCATGCTGTTATAACAGAATACCTTAGGCTGAGTAATTCACAAAAAATAGATATTTATTGGCTTATGGTTCTGGAGGCTGAGAAAGCCAGTATCAAGGTGCCAGCATCTGGCAGCGGCCTTCGTGCCTCATCATAACATGATGGAAGGCATTACATGGCAAAAGGGCAAAGAGAGGGCAACAGACACACACGCACAGAGAGAGAGAGAGAGACAGAGAGAGAGAAGAGGGCCAACTTTCCCACTTTTATAATGAACCCACTCCCCAGATAATGGCATTAATCCCTTTACTCTGCTCTCATGGCCTAATCACCTCTCATTAGTCCCTACCTCCCAACATTTTTACATTGGGGATTAAGTTCCCACATATGCTTTTTAGAGGACACATTAAAACTATAGCACTGCCTCTGATAGCTGTGATATTTAAAATTGCCACTGATCATTTGACAAACATACTTGGTGAGTCTGAAGTCAGACTAAATAACAATAAGCCTCATGAGTGAGATTCTCCAAGGAACTATGAGACATGTCGAATAATAACAGTTGTCTGGCTTTGGAGTGGGTCAAATTCTGTTTTGTCCCCTCTACAAGTTGTTAAGTCAGTATTTTTCACTGTGATTGCTGTGGTTATCTAGGCTGCCATGGGGCTAGGAGAAAAGTATAGGACTATGGCAAGTTAAAATGCCAAAAACCTCGCTGTTGTTACAAAAATCCAGCTGTTTTTCTTTAGTAAACACTCCACATATTGTTGCAAGCCTTTGGTTAATTTCCAGTGTTTTGAAAAAGTCGATACGGATGATTTTTGCCACTGTTCTTGTTGATTTTATGGAGGACAGGATTTCAGGCATAGATCCTATTTCACTATTCTGGCTGATGTCACCCCACTAAATCTTGATAAAGTATTTGTTTTACAAATAGTTGCACACATCTCTGAAACCCTCTCCTACTTAGCCTTCCCCTAAAAATGGAGATTAAAATTTAGCAGCGAGGCTCGGATGGAAGCTTGTGAGCTAGTTGACACAAAACATTATTTAACAACTATTAGGTAAATCTAAACCAGGTAGTGCAGAAATGCATATGCAGGAAAGTGAATATGTGGGAGTAATTGTGTTTTTCCAATACTTGCCATATTGATACTGTTTCTTTCCTTTTACATGGCAAAAGTCCGCTGCTAACCTCATGAAACCTCCACTGCATAAATATCCACTAGTGAAGAATGACTGGCTCTCACTCTGCATCTGGTGCAGGGGGCACTATTGCTACAGAAGTTCGGGCAATGACATGAAGATACTTCAAACTGCCAAAGTTCTAGTTGTCACCATGACTACATTAATTGCCAATTTACAGACTTTAGAAACTGTCGTAGCTAGAATTGATAGAGTTCTTTAGAAGTCTATTTCTATTCCAAAATCAAATTGTTATAACAGGTCATCTGAATTACAATACTTTATGTCGCACGATTTTTTTTTAACTCTATGCAAGCATTTGACTTAGAGAGATACCTTATATTACTTTAGAGAGGAGGAAATGGAGAATTTCCTTCAGAGACTTTTAGTAAAGACCAATCAGCAAGTTTGCAGCAGAGCCAAGACTCTAAAGAGGGGACTTATATTTCCAAGAGATAGTCCAATTCAATCAGTGAATAACAAACTTTAAGCGTGCCGGAAATTTAACAAAGCCCAGACTCTCAGAGCTGCAACTGCGCAGTTTTAGGTTAGCTGGGGGTGGGGGGTCTCTGATTTCCTATCTTTTCTCCACCCCTATTTCTGTAAACATTCTCCCACCCACTTCCACTCCCCGTTTCCCTCCTTCATCCATTCACCTGAGGGCAAGATGGCCTAACTTTACACAGAGCCCAAAGATGCTTATTGAGGATGCTTTCGACTTGATGGAGTCCATTTCAAAAAGCAGCTGAAGCCCTCATTCGGCATCCTCGCCTCTCACTCCATGCCGAGGGTCCAGAAACAATCCCTGTCCCTGGATAGGTCAGTGTAGCTCACCTGTACTTTCCTTCGCCTGTCCACAGCGTCGTCCAAACCGTACCAGCATCTCTGACGAGGTGTCCACGGTGCGCCCAGATCTGGAAAAGTGACTGTAGCGCCATGCGCCGCGGACTCCAGCCGGTGGACGTTGTTACTCGAACCACGCGGTTGCTTGGCAACGCCGCCGGAAGTGACGCCAGCCGTCGCCGAGGAACAAGGAAGGCGCTGCAGTTGGCGGTCGGGCTAGACAAGAGAGGCGCCTGCGCCTGCGCCCGCGCCTGCGAGCTGGGCTTGTGAGTGGGGCTGCCCAGCTGGCAGGCGTGGGGCGAGGCCAAAGGACTGAACCCGCAGGAGCGTCACAGGCGCCGGGGCGGCTGCCGACGGCGGGCCTGGGTCAGTGAGAAGCCCGTGGACCCCCGCCCTGCCTGCTACTCCCATCCTCCCCTGCTGCGCGCTCCACGGGGAACGACCTCCGATTGGGTCCAATGCCTACCCTCGGGGTGGAGCCGGCAGGTGTGTGAGCGCGCGAGGCCTAGGCGTGGTGTGTGTGTCCCCGATCTCCTCGCGGGTGGAATGTGAGGAGCAAAGCCCTTCCTTAACTATAAAAACCCGCGGATTCGCTGACATAAACGCCGTTTTTTTAATCCTTTGGTTTCTGGGGCATGGTCAGGACTAGATGGGGCCAAGTTTTTAAAAAATAGGAATGTTAAAACTTAATGATATGCTTAGAACATTTATGTTAGGACCTTTGAGATATTTTAAATTTCTTGGTAAATACAGGACCACAGAAATCTGTTAGGAGTAGCTGCGCGTTTGGTTTCAAAAGATCCTTTTCTAATACATTGATGTACAGATAACTTCATTACTAACAAGTTGGCTCTGATGTGTACACATAATGCACCAAACTGGAGTCTCTCAAAGTGAAAGAACAAAAAGATTTTTAATAACGAACGTCCTAACACACAGTCGTGCTATTTTTCTTTAGGTTTTCTATCAGATGTTCCACGTAATAATGCTGGTAAGTATGGAATAACTAAGAAAATATTTGTAGACATAAATTAGTTTGTGCACATAGAGCGCTGGTAGGTTTTTGGAAGCATACCTTAAAAAGTCAAGAACTGGGGGCCAGGCGCGGTGGCTCACGCCTGTAAGCCCAGCACTTTGGGAGGCCGAGGCAGGCAGATCACGAGGTCAGGAGACGGAGACCATCCTGGCTAACACGGTGAAACCCTGTCTCTACCAAAAATACAAAAAAAGTTAGCCGGACGTGGTGGGGGGCGCCTGTAGTCCCAGCTACTCAGGAGGCTGATGCAGGAGAATGGCGTGAATCCGGGAGGCGGAGCTTGCAGTGCCAAAGTGTCAAGAACTGGGAAGGAACAGAGATTTTACCCTGTTTGCAGGCTAACTTAGCCTGGCAGTTTCATGGAAGACAGAAGACTATTCGTTTCAGGAATGAATTACTCCCAGCAGTAGCCAGTATATCAGCAATTTTGCCTGAGTTCCCTAAAGCCCCAGTTCCCACAGGATAATGCAAAGTGGGCAAGAAGTCACCTAGATGTAGAGTATGTCGAATTACAGGAAAGCAGCCCTGAGCTTAGGGAACCCAGATCTTTATCATTTGGACAAATAAGCATGTTTCTCAAGGCTGTCCACTGTACAAACATCCTTGAAACAATAGAGGAAAGAGCAGTCAGTAAGACATGCACAACCACCAGAGACGCAGGGAGAATTGTCCCCCAACAAAAATTCTCTGGAATTTTAACAAAATTGGTTACAAAAAGTGTTGAATCTCATGATTTGATGTCAGTTACTTGCCAATTTGACATGGTGGTCAGATATAATTTGACTTCAGACTGGAGCTTCCAACTCCAACCACAATCCAAGTCAATCTAGAGTTGTTTGTCCTATACCCACCACTCTTTTTTTTCTTTGTTGTAAATTTAATAAGGTAGCATATGCACTCTGATCTGAAACAGTTTAAATTATTCTGAGAAGAAAAAAAATTTTATTACAAAATTAATGTAGAAAAAGTGTGAACTACGGTTGAACCAACCATAACCATTCCACTGCACATGTAAACATTTTCTAAAACAAAAACAGGATTATACTGTACACACTATTTTGTGACTTGCTTATTTAATTTGAACTGAATATCTTAGCTTTTACTGGCTGGATATTCTATTATATGCTGTCACATGCATATCTTATTTAATTATTTCCCAATTCTTGGATGTCTGTGTAGTTTCTAATTTTCATTGTGTAAAGTACACAGGATATTGTTACACTATGGAAACATTGCAGACATACCAAATGGACATAGATTGTGCTTTTGAAGAGAACCGTTAACTCTTTTTGGAACTTTAACAGATTGGTTTCAAAATAGATTCACATTCTTAAAACTAAATCTTTGTGCATATCCTTAATTTTTGGAGACATTTTAATTTCTAATGCAGCACTAAATCTCTAAATGTCTATTGACAACAGAATGTGGAATTCCTCTATTATTAAACAAGTAAAAAGAAAAAAAATGGACTCTGAAAAATCTCAATCAGCTTAGCACTATGATTTTATCCACTGGACAAAAACTTATTTTCACGTAACGTTTCTTATTTTCGACACCAAGTCAATACCAAGTGGAAAGCAAAACTTTGTTCTCCTATTGCCAAGAGATACTTTCCTGACATAAGAAAAACAACATAATTAGAAAATACAAATGTTAAAGCTTTTAAAATACTTTTATTAATTTTAGGAGTTAAGAAGTTTCCATTATTTTGCTCCAAACCAGAAGACTCTGTTGCCTGTATATAGAATAGGAGTAATGTTTGAAAACAACTGGCTGGTGTTTAAGACTGAAGATTGTCGTGATTGTTTATCCTAATCCCAATGCTGAAGTAAGATTGTCTTGGAAATACTAAGTTGGGTAAGTATTTTTATAAAGGTTTGTGTTGAATGGTGAGAAAATACTAATAGAAAAAGGTAATTTTTTTTTTTTGAGACGGAGTCTCGCTCTGTCACCCAGGCTGGAGTGCAGTGGCCGGATCTCTGCTCACTGCAAGCTCCGCCTCCTGGGTTTACGCCATTCTCCTGGCTCAGCCTCCCGAGTAGCTGGGACTACAGGCGCTCGCCACCTCGCCCGGCTAGTTTTTTGTACTTTTTAGTAGAGACGGGGTTTCACCGTGTTAGCCAGGATGGTCTCGATCTCCTGACCTTGTGATCCGCCCATCTCGGCCTCCCAAAGTGCTAGGATTACAGGCTTGAGCCACCGCGCCCGGCCAAAGGTGAAATTTTTAAAGTGCACTTTCAGATCAGCAGGGGAACTGTTACCTCAGTCTCATGCTATTTTGAGGCTAATAATTCAGGAATTTCAGTAATTTGTGGCTAATTAAGTTTAGGCTTGAGGCAGTTTTCAACCAACAGTGAGTTACATTTGAAATTTGTTTTAATTATAAATTCAGAATTCTCAAAAAGCATATTTAATTTAAAACATGCCTAGTTACAGTACTAATGTGATTGTCAATTATGCCTTATTATTTATTACATTGTTTCTGTAGGAAAGTGAATTCTGCATTTAAATCTCAGGGAACCAGTCAGAAGCATCTGGATTAGGCATTTAGTGATACAAGGATCCAGAGTGACAAAATATTATGTATCAGCCACATTCACACAACAGGTGATACCCCTGTAGGTTAATTATTCTCTTGATATTCTAAATTAAGAGACACAGAATACTTAGTCTTATGTGAGTCAAGAGCTCTATTCTGTCTTCACTACTGGGTATCAACTGTTATAAACTGGAGAATATGTGTGGCTAAATGCCATGTTTTTCATTTTTAATTGATCTTTTTCTTATTGCTTGGGTTGTCTTTTTAGGATTTCTTGTAGAAACCTCAAAATGGTTATAAAGTGTATCACCGATGTGGTGTTACAGTTAGTGTGTACTTTGAAACTAATGAATGTTTTTATGTAATTAAATATCTTTCTGCCGAAATGACCTACTTAGTATTTTATTTTTAAACTAATGAGTAGTCATTAAATGTTCTATTTTTTTGAGACGGAGTCTTGCTCTGTCGCCAGGCTGGAGTGCAGTGGCGCGATCTTGGCTCACGGCAACCTCCGCCTCCTGGGTTCAAGCAATTCTCCTGCCTCAGCCTCCTGAGTAGCTGGGACTACAGGCGAGCACCACCATGCCCAGCTAATTTTTTTTTTGTACTTTTAGTAGAGATGGGGTTTCACCATGTTGGCCAGAATGGTCTCGATCTCTTGACCTCGTGATCCGCCCGCCTCGGCCGCCCAAAGTGCTGGGATTACAGGTGTGAGCCACAGCGCCTGGCCTTTAATTCTATTTTTTAACACTAGAATTTGGTACTTAAAAGCATTAAGTTTGGAATCAAATCAACCTAAGATTCCAGCTCTGGCACTTTACTAACACCTAACCACTTTAAGATCCAGCTTATACATCTTTAAGATGAGGATAATAATGATTCCTACTTAATAGGGTTATGACAATTAAATGGTATGATACTGCAAAGTTTTTAGGCCAGTACCTGACATATAATGACTCTCAAAATTATTATTATTATCTGTTTACACACATTAATTATATCCTTTTCTGGATATTCTATATAGTTATTTTTTATAAATAATGTTTATTCTTACCATCAGTTGACCGGCTTATTCTTTCCTTTTCTCTTGAGATTTATAATTAATCACTTTCATTATCTTCTAATGAAAACAGAGACATAAGTGTCACACCACAAACAATATGATTACTCAGGTGTATTCAAATTATTTGGCACCCCAGAGCTAAACTATCTAGAGCAGATATAGATAAACATGTGAAAACTCTTAACCAAGTTACTTCTAGTTCGGAAGAATTGGCCTTCAGTTCTCAGGTAGTTTGTTTAGACTATCATATAGAGTGTCAGCAATTATTTAATTATAATATTGGCATTTAGAAATTGATTTTAAACTAAATACCTTCTTTTTTAAATTTTTTTGATTTCTACCTTTTAAGTTCGGGGTACATGTGCAGGATATGTAGATTTGTTACATAGGTAAGCGTGTGCCATGATGCTCTGCTGCACAGGTCATCACGTCACCTAGGTATTAAGCCCAGCATCCACTAGCTGTTTTCCTGATGCTCTGCCTCCTCCTACGCCCAACCCTCCAACAGGCCCCAGTGTATGTTGTTCCATTCCATGTGTTCTCATGATTCAGCTCCCACTTATAAATGAGAGCACGTGGTGTTTGTTTTTGTTGTTGTTGTTGTTCCTGTGTTAGTTCACTGAAGATGATGGCTTCCAGCTCCATCCATGTCCGTGTAAAGGAAATCATCTCATTCCTTTCTATAGCTGCATAATATTCCATGGTGTATAAGTACCACATTTTGTTTATGCAGTCCATCATTGACGGGCATTTAGGTTGATTCCATGTCTTTGCTATTGTGAACAGTGCTGCAGTGAACATATGCATGCATGTATCTTTATAATAGAATGATTTACATTCCTTTGGGTATATACCCAGTAATGGGATTGCTGGGTCAAGTGGTATTTCGGCCTCTACGTCTTTGAGGAATCACCACACTATCTTCCACGATGGTTGAACTAATTTACACTCCTACCAACAGTGTAAAAGTGTTCCTTTTTCCCCACAACCTTGCCAGGTTGTTTTTTGACTTTTTAATGATAGCCATTCTGACTAGTATAAGATGGTATCTCATTGTGGCTTTAGTTTGCATTTCTCTAATGATCAGTGATGTTGAGCTTTTTTTTTCTTTCATATATTTCTTGGGCACATGTATTGTCTTCTTTCAAGAATTGTCTGTTTGTGTCCTTTCCCCACTTCTTAATGGGGCTGTTTGTTTTTTCTTGTAAATTTGTTTAAGTTCCTTAACAAGGAACTACATGATTCTTATCAAAAAGGATTGTGGGCCGGGCGCGGTGGCTCAAGCCTGTAATCCCAGCACTTTGGGAGGCTGAGACGGGCGGATCACGAGGTCAGGAGATCGAGACCATCCTGGCTGACACGGTGAAACCCCGTCTCTACTAAAAAATACAAAAAACTAGCCGGGCGAGGTGGCGGGCGCCTGTAGTCCCAGCTACTCGGGAGGCTGAGGCAGGAGAATGGCGTGAACCCGGGAGGCGGAGCTTGCAGTGAGCTGAGATCCGGCCACTGCACTCCAGCCTGGGCGGCAGAGCGAGACTCCATCTCCAAAAAAAAAAAAACAAAAAGGGATTGTGGGCAGATTTTATGAGCAGAGTCTTTAAATATTTGGGAGCTAAAGGTGTAATATAAAATGAAAAGAGCAGAGACATCAATGCCTTTCACTTCAGGGATGGTATAATTTTTCAACTTCATAATAATTGCTGGATATTAGACCTTTGTCAGATGGATAAATTGCAAAAATTTTCTCCCATTCTCTAAGTTGTCTGTTTACTCTGTTGATAGTTTCTTTTGCTGTGCAGAAGCTCTTTAGTTTAATTAGATACCATTTGTCAATTTTTGCTTTTGTTGCATTTGCTTTTGGCATCTTTGTCATGAAATCTTTGCCTGTGCTGTGTCCCGAATGGTATCACCTAGATTTTCTTCTAGGTTTTTTTATAGTTTGGGTTTTACACTTAAGTCTTTAAACCACCTTGAGTTGATTTTTGTATATGGTGTAAAGAAGGGGTCCAGTTTCAGTTTTCTGCATATGGCTAGCCAGCTATCCTAGCACCATTATTAAATAGGGAATCCTTTCCCCACTTGTTTTTGTTAGCAAATACCTTTTTTAAAAAATTATTTTACATCTTGCAAGATTTCATGCTATGTTAAATTTGTTCAGGATTTTGGGTAGTACACAGAGAATCCTTTATACATGACCTATTATTTAATATGAGGATTGTAAATATTTTAATCTAATAAAATAAGTGTGGTTTGATTGATAATGTGATCATAGTAAGAATGCCTTTTTTTTTCTTTCTTATAACTTCTATAAGAAACACACCCCCAGGAACACAATAATACTATGAATGTCCTTTTTATATATTTTGTTTTCCACTTAAAATACTCAAATATGAACTTTGCTTCTTAGAGAAAAGTGGTTAGGTAGTGGTCTCGAAGTGCTTAATCACTTTGTTTATATTCCTTCTTTTGACATATTAACATTTAGTTATGTTTATTAAATAAGTGTTTTAGTTAGATATGTAAACAGAGTTTGTTTAGAGAATAATATTTTTTCTTTTTCAGGATAATCCAAATCTACTTCTGGAACCATGAAAATTTTGCTAGTTTTTGACTTTGACAATACGATCATAGATGACAATAGTGACACTTGGATTGTACAATGTGCTCCCAACAAAAAACTTCCTATTGAACTACGTGATTCTTATCAAAAAGGATTTTGGACAGAATTTATGGGCAGAGTCTTTAAGTATTTGGGAGATAAAGGTGTAAGAGAACATGAAATGAAAAGAGCAGTGACATCATTGCCTTTCACTCCAGGGATGGTGGAACTCTTCAACTTTATAAGAAAGAATAAGGATAAATTTGACTGCATTATTATTTCAGATTCAAATTCGGTCTTCATAGATTGGGTTTTAAAAGCTGCCAGTTTTCATGATGTATTTGATAAAGTGTTTACAAATCCAGCAGCTTTTAATAGCAGTGGTCATCTCACTGTGGAAAATTATCATACTCATTCTTGCAATAGATGCCCAAAGAATCTTTGCAAAAAGGTAGTTTTGATAGAATTTGTAGATAAACAGTTACAACAGGGAGTGAATTATACACAAATTGTTTATATTGGTGATGGTGGAAATGATGTCTGTCCAGTCACCTTTTTAAAGAACGATGATGTTGCCATGCCACGGAAAGGATATACCTTACAGAAAACTCTTTCCAGAATGTCTCAAAATCTTGAGCCTATGGAATATTCTGTTGTAGTTTGGTCCTCAGGTGTTGATATAATTTCTCATTTACAATTTCTAATAAAGGATTAATATGCCAGCAATTGAAAAGTGTATCACTTAAGATTAGGTTCAGCAGCATAAAACTAAAACCCCAAATACCAGAGGCTTAAAAAAAACAGAGAATTTTTTTTTCCTCTCACATAAAAGAATTCCAGAGGTAAGTATTTCAAGTTGCTGTATTAGTCTACCAACCTCAGCACTTGGCATTCAACCCTTGATCCAAGGTTGCTGGTGAAGCTCTAGCCCTCACAGCAGCACTCTGGCCAGCAAGGAGGGCAGTGAGAAAGTTACATTCCCTGTCTAAAGAAATTTCCCAGAAGTTGTACCCAATACTTCTATTGAAGTATCATTGGCCAAATTTAGTCATAATGCCTTACTTGTAAATAGCAAAGAAAGATGGAAAATATAGCTTTCATTCCAGGTAGTCACGTGCCCAGGAAAAGCTGGGGGAAAAAGTACAGAATTGAGGTAGGTACAGCTAGTGGTCTCCACTAAAGGTGGTTGGTAGGTTATATTTTTAAATTTATTTCTCGAGCAAGTAAGCATATTTTATTCTTTTAGATATTCCTCCTCTTTTGAGACAAGGTCTCTGTCACCTAGCCTGGATTGCAGTGACTTGATCTTCGCACACTGCAGCCCCAACCTCCCGGACTCAAGTGATCCTCGCACCTCAGCCTCCTGAGGAGCTAGGACTACAGGCTCACGCCACCATGCCAGCTGTTTTGTTATTTTTTGTTGGAGATGAGGTCTCACTACTTTGCACAGATCTCAAAATCTTGGATTCAAGTGATCCTCCTGCCTTGGCTTCCCAAAGTGCTGGGATTACAGGCATGAGCCACCATGGCCAGCCAGATACTTATTTTGAAAGTATGTCCTGTAGTTACAGATCTTAAAAAATAAAGCCTGATGCTTTATTCACATAAGAATAAAAGGCTGCCAAATTTATATAATATCCTCCCAAACCAGTGTATTTTAAAGATAGTGATGCAGTATCTATTGTTGAAGTTTTCATCAATTTCAGACTTTCCATTTGAAATGAAGTACTATTATACTATTAATATCCTTCAAATATTCTAACTTGATATCTTGGCACCATAGACAACTACAGTAGCTAGTTTAATCAGTGTGTTGTTTATATTTGGCAATGCAGTTTTGAGCAATTCAATACTATATATAATTTGCAGCAATACTTAATATTTAAGACTTTCATATAGGGATATTAGCAAATATCAACTGATCTAAAATGTTTTATAAGTCCATGCTAATTTCTAGATTCATGTTTTAGCCATATAAATGCAGTATTTAATAATATTGTATTTTCCAAATTATGGAAAGCTCCAGAAATAGAAATATTCAATATAATTACTACTCGCTAATCTTTTTTCTAGGTTGAAAAATCTTTGTTTTGCTTTAGGTTAGATTATGTTAAAACACATCTGTGTTTCAGATGTGTTCAGAGCTGAGGTCTCAGCTGAGGCTCCACTGAAGCAGGATTCACTTCCAAAATAAGAGTTGTTGCCAGTATTCAGTTCCTAGCAAACTACTGGAACAAGAATCTGTTTTCCTGCTGACTTAATTTCTTGCCATGTGGCCCTCTCCAAATGCTGGACATAAAAAAGTAGGCTGAGCACAATGGCTCACACCTGTAATCCCAGCAGTTTGGGAAGCCAAGGTAGGAGGATCGCTTGAGGCCAGGAGTTCAAGACTAGCCTGGGCAATATAGGGAGACCCCATCTCTACAATAAATAAAAATAAAGGCTTTCAGGCCGGGCGCGGTGGCTCAAGCCTGTAATCCCAGCACTTTGGGAGGCCGAGACGGGCGGATCACGAGGTCAGGAGATCGAGACCATCCTGGCTAACACGGTGAAACCCCGTCTCTACTAAAAATACAAGAAAATTAGCCGGGCGAGGTGGTGGGCGCCTGTAGTCCCAGCTACTTGGGAGGCTAAGGCAGGAGAATGGCGTGAACCCGGGGGGGCGAGCTTGCAGTGAGCCGAGATCGCGCCACTGCACTCCAGCCTGGGGCACAGAGCAAGACTCCGTCTCAAAAAAAAAAAATAAATAAAAAATAAAAAATAAAAAATAAAATAAAGGCTTTCATTTACAATGATGGTAGACCAAGAAATTTGTCCTAGATCTTCACTGAGAATATCTATAAAAGCTGGCAGCTGAACAAAATTTTAAAAACATCTGGGCTGGGTGTCCTGGCTCACACCTTTAATCCCAGCACTTTGGGAGGCCAAGGCGAGGGGATCACGTGAGCTCGGGAGTTTGAGAACAGCCTCAGCAACATAGGGAGACCCCATCTCTTAAAAAAAAAAAAAAGATAAACTTAAAATAAATTAATTAAAAACACCTGGTTGAAGACATCAGCGAGCTGGCAACAATGAAGAATTCCTAAGGAAACAGAAACTTTGTTAGGGGAGCCGTTTTCCCTTGTGTTGGCCAGTTCTGTAAGTGGTAAGTGATTGCTCAGATGTTGAAGGCCATTTTGATAACCTCATGGGACAAGGAAGAAGGGACCTGCACTGGTAAACCCTTTCCCTTACTTGGGGTGAGGATCCCAAATGGCTACTCATTAGGAGTAACAATGGTCCAGAAGTAAGCAGGCCTTCAAAGGGATGGCAGCTCAGCTTCAAATACCCTCAGTTTCTGAAATTAGATTGAGGTTATCTAAGATTTTAGAGCTCCCAGATGCATGGCAGAAGCAAATCTACATTTGCCTTTCAGGAAGAAATTAACATCCTAGGTGTAGCAGACAGACTCTAAGGTGGCCACTATGATCCCTGTCCCCTGGTATTCCTTGTGTGGAGGGAGACTCCTGTGACTTGATTCTAATTCATAGACTACCACAAAGATGATGAGATGGACATGATTACACCAAATTCTAATATTCATCTTATTGAGAGACTCTTGTTGACTTTGAAGAAGCAAGCTGCCATGCTGTAAACCAGCCACTGGAGAGGGCCTCATGTCAAGAAACTAAGGGTGGCCTCTAGCCAGTAGTCAGCAAGAAAACAGATCCTTGTTCCAGTAGTGTGCTAGGAACTGAAGATTGCCAACAACCTTGTTATTTTGGAAGTGAATCCTGGTTCAGTGGAGCCCTAGCTGAGACCTCAGCTCTGGCTAACACCTTGATTGCAGCCTTTTGAGACCAGGAAACAAAAAGAAGCCAGCTAAATCTGTGCTTGGACTCCTGACCCACAGAACTTGTGAGATAATAAATGTGTCTTGTTCTTAAGACACCAGATTTGTGGTAATATTGTTATACAATGTAGAAAACTAACAAATTAGGCCTCAAAATGTACAAATAGTTTTGTAGGTGCACTGTAGAACACACAATAAAAAGTAGCCACATAAAGAGACATGCGTGAACACCAGCAGAAGCTTCTATTTAAACATCTGTAGGGACCTCCAGATATTGGAGTTTTCAGAGACAAGCTTAAAAAAAAAAATTAAACTTACAAGAATTTTGGCAAAGCATTGAAAATTATATTAAACACAAAATGAAACAGCTAGATGGCAGAAATAAGTTCTAGCATTCTTCTGCACTGTAGGATGACTATCGTTAATAATAATATATATTTCCAAATAGAGGATATTGAATGTTCCCAACACAAATGAGAAATACTTTGAGTTGAAGAATATGCTGATTTCCCTGATCTAATCACTATACAGTAAATGTATCAAAATATCACCATATATGTCATAAATATGTACAATTATTTTGCGTCAATTAAAAAAAATTTTTAAAGGAAACACTAGAACTGAAAATAGCATGATTGAAATTAGGAGCTTGATGGATAGAATTGACAGAACAGGCATAGCTGAAGAAAGAATTGGTGAATGAACACAAGTTACAAGAAAAAATCCAGAATGATGCAGAGAGACAAAATAATAAAAATACAAAAGTTGAGACATAGATTTAGTAAGAAGATATAACAGAGGAAATTTATGTCCCGAGAGGAGAAAGAAAATGAAACATAAGTAGTAGTTTAAGAGATAATTATTGGCTGCACGCGGTGGCTCGAAGTCAGGAGATGGAGACCATCCTGGCTAACACGGTGAAACCCCGTCTCTACTAAAAATACAAAAAATTAGCCGGGCATGGTGGTGGGCGCCTGTAGTCCCAGCTACTCGGGAGGCTGAGGCAGGAGAATGGCATGAACCGGGAGGCAGAGCTTGCAGTGAGCACAGATTGTACCACTGCACTCCAGCCTGGGGGACAGAGTGAGACTCTGTCTCAAAAATAATAATAATAATAATAATAATAAAACTTTACAAAATCGAAAGATAGATCCTGAGGCAGGACTTGGGTAAAACCAACAAAGAATACAAAAAATATATTTTTAAAATTTGTAAAAAACAAAATTGAAAGACGTCAAACCTGAGATTCAAGAACCCTCATAAACCCCAAACAGGATAAATAAAATGAAAACCACATGAAATTACACCGTTGTAAAACTGCTGATAACCAAAGATGGAAAAAGTATAAAGCGGCCAAAATAAATTTTATTACTTTGAAAGGAGCAACAATTAAGCTAATAGCTGGCATTTTTTTCTTTCGTTCTTAAATGCTTGATAGAATACAACAGTGAAACTATCCAGACCTGGAGTTTTCTCTTTTGAAAGATTTTAACCACAAATTCCATTTCTTTCATGGATATAGGACTACTCCATTGTGTAGCTTTTCTTGAGTAAGCTTTGGTAGTTTGACTGTGTTAATTATCTATTGCTACATAATAAATTACTTCAAAACTTAACAGCTTGGAAAAATAAAGTTATCTCACAGTTTCTGTGGATCAGGAATTCAGGAGCATTTAGCTGGGTAGTTCTGGCTCAGGATCAAAAATGGGTCAAGATGTTAACTGAGGTTGAAGCCATATGAAAACCTGACTAGGGCTGGAGTATCTGCTTCCAAGGTGGCCTACTCATGGTTTTTGGCAAGAAGCCTCATTTCCTTATTGGCTATTGGCCAATGTATTGCTGATTGGCAGAAGACTTCATTTTCCAACTACATGGGCCTCTCCATAGTGCTGATCAAGTATCCTTTTAAAAAAAAAAAAAGGTAGCTGTTTTCTAGCCAAGTGAGTGAACCAAGAGGAAGGGCAAAGAAGAAACTACAGGCCAGGCATGGTGGTTCACGCCCTTAATCCCAGCACTTTGGGAGGCCAAGGTGGGTGGATCACCTGAGGTAGGGAGTTCGAGACCAGCCTGGCCAACATGGTGCTACCCTATCTCTACTAAAATTACAAAAATTAGCCAGGCATGGTGACAGGCGCCAGTAATCCCAGCTACTTGGGAGGCTGAGGCAGGAAAATCGTTTGAACCCAGAAGGCGGAGGTTGCAGTCAGTGACTGGAGATTGCGCCACTGTACTCCAGCCTGGGTGACAAGGGCAAAACTCCATCTCAAAAAAATAGTAATAAAAATTAAAAAAGAAGAAACTATGATGCCTTTTGTTACCTATCTCAGAAGTGGCACCCCATTACTTCTGCTGTATTCTGTTTGTTAAAGCAGAACACTAGTCTGACCCACACTGAAAAAGAGGAGAATTAGACACCACCTTTGGGTGAATGATAAAAAAATGTGTGGACGTTTAAAAACCACTAGTGTCACTTGAGGACTTTGTTCATTTGATCAAAGTAGTGAAATTTATGAGCATGTTTTTCATAGTATTCTTTTATTAACCCTTTAATTTTACAGCAAATGCCTATATACCCACTATCTAGATTCTACCATTAACATTTGACTCTTCTTGTTTCATCACGTATCTGTTCTTCTCTCTAGCCATCCTTTTTTTTCTTCTGCCTTTTTAACATAAATATTGTCTTTTCTCTTTTCTTCTTTGCTCCCCAGTTGATTAAACCAGTGCTTCTCTGGGGCTGATTGGGACTCAGGTGTCTTCCAGCTTTGTGTGAGCCCTGGGAATTGTTTAGCTTATAGTTCCGAGGGTCATTCTCTGCCCAGATTTATGGGGTTTCATCCACACAAGTATGGCTTAGTATTCAACCACAAACTCAAGGGGACATCCTCCCTTGCAGATTTCTGGAATCTTTCTTGATTTACCTTCTTCCTTTCTGGTACTCTTCCCTGCAAATTCCAGCCACTTTTGCCTCCCCAAACTGATCTCCATTCCTTCAACTCAGCAAGACTACTGTGGTCTGTTTGGGGCACCCCCCTCCCTGCACCTTGGGCTGGAACGTGTCTCCAGGCAAAAGTAGAGGCAATTATAAGGCTCTCCTCATTTGTTTCTTCTCTCTCGAGGACCACAGTTCTGTACTGCTTGTTGACCAATGCTTGAAAACTGTTATTTTGTATCTTTTGTTCAGTTTTTTAAATTATTTATGGTGGGAGGATTAGTCCAGTCCCACTTCCTCCAGAAAGAGTAATTCTGGAATCTCATTTTTATTTTCTAATGCAAGATAGTGGTAAGACCTCCACTCTGAATTAGAAAGACCTGAATTTGAATTCTAGCTCTGAATCGAATAAATTAATAGCTTCTTAATACTGCAGTTTTATTTTAAGTGGGGATAATAAAAGTCCCTATCTCCTGAGATTATTGTGAAGATTTACTGAATATGGTATTGTATTAGTTTACTGTGGCTGCTGTAACAAATCATTACAAACTGGGTTTTGGAGACCAAAAGTCCAAAACAGTTTCACTAAGCTGAAATCAAGATGTCAGCAGGACCATGGTCCTTCGCAGGCCCTAGGGGGGATTCATTCCTTGCCTCTTCCACCTTCTGGTGGCCACAGGCCTTTGGCTTGTGGCTGCATCACTCCAATCTCTGCCTTCATAGTTACATTCTTTTCTTCTCTTCTCTCTGTATCAAATTCCCCTCTTCCGCTTTCTTATAAAGATTGCATTTAGGACCCACCCAGATAATCTAGGATAATCCCCTCATTTTTAAGATCCTTAATTACACCTGCAACCCATTTTTCTTACAAGGCAACATTTACAAGTTTCAGGGATTAGAACATGATGTCTTTCTGTGGCCATTATTTAACCTACTACGAGGTGATAAAGCATTTGACACACATTCACTGATAATCAAAACATTTAACACCACTATAAGGCACCAAGGCACCAACCTCTCAGATAATAAGCACCAACTAATAAGAATGGATGCTGGCCACAAACCCCGCTAACAGTGCCTTTGGCTGAATAGCAGCCCTGTACTTGCTGTATGCCAGCATCTCACACATCCTATACACCGAATAAATATGAGTTCATTGAGATCCAACTTTTACTAAGTCATTTCTACTTCTTCTTTTTAAATGTCTGGGCATGTTCTTTGGTCATTTATCTGTAGGGTCTTGTGTTCTGCTTATCTCTTTGTCTGAGTACTTTATATAGGGAGGATGCTAACATTCCCATATTTGTGACAAATGTTTGCATTGTGTTAATATTTTCTAAATCTCATGCTTGATTATATGTATCTAGATAATATGTTCTTCATTTTTAAATGTAAACATTTAAATTGAATATATGGCTTATCTC